GCCAAGAACACAGTATATGATGAAAAATACATTTATTTTTTAATGTATACATGTACACTGATAGTCCGACAGAAAACTTTATGACTCCATTTGACATTATCAGTGGGACTTTGCTGCTGCATCACTGATGACAGAGATTTTACATCAGGTTTATATTTTGTGACCTTCAGAGATATGCACGAGCTACTGCTTTCATCCGTCAGGCTACTTCTATTATGAGACTTAACAAAATTCATCACTGAGAACAAAGATTCACAATTGTAAATGGATGATTATAAGAGAGGGTTTTGTGTGCCAGCAAAAGTTACTGGCATGCCATGTTTGGCCCGTGTGCCAGGAGTTGCCCACCCCTGGTCTAGCAGATAGGAAGGATGGCCTAGATCATTGGTTCCCAGCCCTGTCTGCAAGTCAGACTCACTTAGCGAGCTTCACACATTCCTTATGCCAGGGCTGTTCCCCCCTAAGAAACCAAAGCGGGATCTCTTAGGTGGGACCCAGGCATCATTATTCCTCAAAGTCCCAGATCACAGTGTGAAGCCATGTCTGAACACCAGGGTGTTTTGTCCCTCCAGGTGATGTTTGTCCATGTCGGGAGATGTTTTCGGTTGTCACACCTGAAGGTGCGGGCATCTAGTGGGGAGAGGCCAGGGATGCTGCTAAACATCCTGTGTTGCACAGGACAGCCCCACCAAGCACGACCCAGCCTCGAATGTCTGGAGTGCCAACATGACAAACCCTGGCCTAGACCTTGGTCCCTCAGTGTGTTTGGGGATGAGCAGGGCCATCTGGGAGCCTGTTAGAAATGCAGTCTCAGGTCCTGGCCAGTCCTGAATCAGAGCCTGCATGGTAATAAACTCCCCGGGCAAGGTGTGTGTACAGGAAAAAGGATGCAAAGTCCAGGTTTAGGCAACTTCCGAGGTCCCTTCCACTGCCTCAGAGAGGGAGACAGTGAGCGCATCGATACGAGTGGGGGCTTCATGCTGAGACGGACGAGCTGGGAAGGCAGGTAAGTCAGCAGGGGAGGAGGAAAGAGCGGTGGCCTGTCCACTCCTGAGCAGCCTCCTTCTTTCACCAGGGCCTGGAGGCAGTGTACAGGCTCCTCCTCATCTGCCACACTCACCCTTCCCTCTCCTTTGTCCCGCAGGCCCTGGTGATCACCAATTCTGCCAGAAAGTCCTCCACGGTCGGGGAGATCGTCAACCTCATGTCTGTGGACGCCCAGAGGTTCATGGACCTGACCACATACATTAACATGGTCTGGTCGGCCCCTCTGCAAGTCTTCCTTGCGCTCTACCTCCTGTGGCTGGTGTGTGTCCGATATGGGTGCCTGTCATGTGGGAGGGACCTCCGTGTGTGGGCGGTGGGGACGAGGGAGTGGTGTTGGCGACAAGAACCTCTGTAGCTCACGGTAGTTCTTGCTGTCATTTACATTTTCTTTTCTGACCATCAGCCAATTCCTGGATATTTTATTACTTTCCTCAGTTGTTGGGTTATGTTCTCTTTGGTGGCATAGTATTTGCATTCATCTTTTCTTGACAATTCGTGTAATTAACAACCTTACAACATACATACCATATTTCTGCCACTGTATTCTTCCAAACACTATCCTAACTCATTTATTCACTAGCCCTGGATTATGTTGGTCACAATCTCTTGGTTGCAAGGGTAGAAATATACCAGATGGAATCAGCGAAGGATGCTGAACTCCCCTCTCCCGTGAGCAAACTCAAATACACAGGTATGCTGACAATGAGCAGTTCCTGACTAACAAGGTAAAGAGACGAGTAGAGATGGCCCGGAAGCTAGGGAAGCCCTGCGGGGACTCTCCGAGCTGGAGCAGCGGGTGTTTACATTCCCCTCCACTTCCGTGTGGCTGGTAGAGGTCTGATCTGGGCCTTGGCCTATCTGCAAGATCACCCCAGCAGTTACCAGCTACATCGCCCAGAGCCACTGCCTCTGAGCAAGGGAGCAGCCGGGAACAACAGGTGTCACCACTGGCACCTGGCAGGAAGGCCAGGAACCACTCCAGCCACACAAGCCAGCGCCCCAGGAGCCAAGTGCCTGCCTGGATCCAGCTGGATTCCCTAAACTACCCAGCAGAGGAGCCTGCAACGAGGTCACTTCTACACAAGACCACTTTCTGCACAACGAAAAGAGAGAGACATACAGAGAAGGCTGGACAGCTGCGAGGGCTCTCCGGGGGCTGCAGGTCATTGCTTATGTCCCCCTCTGTCTCCAAAGGGTGGGTGGGGGCTCTATCCAGGTGCCCTGGCCTACCTGCAAGATCACTGAGTGTGCTTCCGGACACACTGCCTGAGCCCTTTCTGCCGCGAACAAAGGAAGCAAGCAGAAGAGAATCAACAGGGCGTTGCCGCACAAGGTGGCCTCCCCGCTTGGAACCACTCCAGCTCAGTAGGCCAGCGATTTGGACACCTTAGGCACCTGTTCAGCTCCTACCGGCCTGCCCAAACCACCTGGCAGCCTACAGAGACTGCTTCTTCATTAGGCCACTTTTTCAAGACTGGGAGAGAGCTATTGTCTAATTTGTATAAACAAAAATAGAAAATCAAACAAAATGAAAAGACAGCAGAATTTTTTAAGTTAACTGAATGAATAAGAAAAATCCCCAGAAAAAAACCCCCTAAGGAAATGGAGGTAAGTAATTTGTCTGATTAAGAATGAAAAGAAATAGTCATAAGGATGCTCACCAAACTTGCAAGTGCAATAGAGGAACTTTGGGAGAACAACAAAGAGACAATAACTGCAATGAAAAATATGTTAGAAGGAATCAACAGGAGATTGGCTAACACAGAAGAATGGATCAGTGACATGGAAGGTAGACTAGTAAAATCAACCAATCAGAACAGCAAAAAGAATTTTTAAAAATGAGGATCATCTCATCTGGGATAACATCGTGCACACTAACATTCATATCATAGGGATTCCCAGAAGGAGAAGAGAGAGAAAGGTACAGAAAACCTATTTGAAGACATAATGGCTGAAAACTTTCCGAATCTGAGAAAGGAAACAGACATTCAGGTCCAGAAAGTACAGAGAGTTCCAAATAAGATGAACCCAAAGAAACCCACACCAAGATATATTACAAATTAAAGATGAGGATACGATCTTAAGGCAGCAAGAGGAAAATGAGCTATGTATAAAAGAAACTCCATGATGCTATCAGCAAATTTACAGGTCAGAAGGGAGTGGTAGGACATCTTAGAAGTGCTGAAAAAAAGGAACCTACAACCTAGAATAATTTCCCCCAGAAAGATTATCATTCAGAATTGAAAAGAGAAAGGAGTTCATCACCATTAAGCTAGCTTTGCAAGAAATGTTAAAGGGTCTTCTTTAAGCAGAAAAGGCCATAACCGGAAATAAGAAAATATGAGAACAGAACAAAAAAAAGTCACAGTTAAAGCCAAATATTTAGTAAATATAGCTAATCAGACATTTGAAAGGCTACAATGAAGGTCAAAAGAAAAAAGTACCAGATTTCAACACAATACATTGTAGCAGATACAGATTACAAAAAGATCTAAAATATGACATCAGTAACATAAGTATGGAGGGGGATTGAACGTAGTCCTTATACATTCAAACATAAGTGTCTTTAAAAAGACTGCTATAAATAAAGAATGACATACAGGGTGGGGTTAAAGTAGCTTTACAGTTGTGCATATGGAAAATATCACAAATAATAAGTGAGAATAAACTGTTTTGCATACTCATAAACCTGCTTTTGTTCCACGCTGTACATAGGACTCATGGTAACCACAAACCAAAAATCTACAAAAGCTATACGAGGAACAAAGAGAAAGGAACACTAAAGAACAACAGTAAACCCCAAGGGAAGAGATCAAGAGAAGAAGAAAGGAATAGAAGACAGCTATAAAACAACCCAAGAACAATGAACAAAATGGCAATAAACATACTTACTAAGAACCACTTTTTAAAAAAAATATATTTTTATTGATTTCAGAGAGGAAGAGAGAGGGAGAGAGAGAGAGATAGAAACATCAATGATGAGAGAGAATCATTGATCAGCTGCCTCCTAGAGGCCCCCTACGGGGGATCAAGCCTACAACCCCGGCATGTGCCCTTGACTGGAATCGAATCTGGGACCTTTCAGTCCGCAGGCCGATGCTCTATCCACTGAGCCAAACCAGTTAGGGCTAAGAACCACTTTTAATACAAATGGATTAAGTGCTCCAATGAAAAGACAGGTGGCTGAGAAAATTAAAAAACTTGCCCCATGTATATGCTGCCTATAGGAGATTCACTTCAGGTCGAAAGACACATACAGACTGAATATGATGGAATGCAAAAAGATATTTCATGCAAATAGAAATGAAAAGAAAGCAATATCTTTTTGGATGTGTCTCCTCAGGCAAGGGCAACAAAAGAAAAATAAATAGATAAATGGAACTATATCAAGCTAAAATCGTTTTGCACAATGAAGCAAATCAAAACAAAAAGACAACCAACCTACTAAATGGGAGAAGATATTTGCAAATGATACATCGGTAAGGAGCTAATATCCTAACTATATGGGGAAACTTCTACAACTTAGCACCAAAAAGAACAATCCAACTGAGAAATGGACAAAGAACCGGAATAGGTATTTCTCCAAAGAGGACATATAAATAGCCAACAGACCTGTTAAAAGATCCTCAACATCACTAATCGCCATGGAAATGCAAATTAAAACCACAATGAGCTATCCCCTCACACCTATTAGAATGTCAGTCGTTAATAAATGGACCGATAACAAGTGCTGACAAGGATGTGGAGAGGGAACCCTGGTGCACTGTTGGTGGGATTGTAACTAGCTGCAGCCACCAAGGAAAACAGAATGGGAATTCCAGGAAGTTAAAAATAGAACCACCGCATGAATCAGCAATTCCACTTCTGGGTATTTATCCAAAGAAAATAAAAATACTAATTTGAAAGGTGTATGCACCCCTGTGCTCATTGTAGCATTACTAGTAATAATCAAGATATAGAAGCAACCTAAATGTCTATCCATACATGAATGGTCACACAATGAAATATTATTCAGCAATAAAAGCGAACGAAATCTTGCCAGCTGCGACATAATGGATAGACCTAGAGGGTATTGTGCTAACGGAAATAAGTCAGAGAAGGCACATATTATGATTTCACTTATATGTGGAATTTAAAATAGCAGAACAAATGAATAAACAAAACAAAACAGAAACAGACCCATAGATACTGTGAACAAGCTGACAATTGCCTAAGGGGAGGGGTAGGAGAGATGGGAATAAAAGGAGAAAAAAGAAATGATGAAAAAAAAATAATGAGAAAAGTGGCAGGGAAAAGAAAGAAGGCACTACCTTCAAAGTATTTGTCTGCTGAGTAATAAAGTGGTCGGAGAGGCCTGTTTAGCCAGCAATACTTTTCGCCCTCAGGTTTCTTGGAGATCTCGTGATGCAATTTGGTGTTTGAGGGGGATAGGATCACAGCAGGCATAATTGTAACATCTGGGTATACATTCCTAAAAAGAAAAAGAAAAAGAAAATAAATCAGTTTTAAAATAGCATAGGCAAATTAAGGGAATTTTGTGGGTGCATGCATGTAACTGAAAAGTCCAGGGACTTCGGGCATGGATGGGTCCAGGAGTTCAAGGAGTACTGTAAGGACTCAGTTTTACTCTTTAGTCATTTTTTGGCCCTCTTTTCCTCTGAGTTGACTTTATTCTCAATGGAGTTTCCCTAACTGGCTTTTATACTTTGGGCTTGTATCATTTTTACAGATAGTGGTGTCAAAGAAAAGAACATTCCTCTTTGCCTTAGCTAGAGTCCCAGGGAGCACTCTGATTGGCTTGGCACAGTGCTCTTCACATCCCTGAACCAATCACTGTGAAGCAGGAGGCAAAGTCTTCTGATTGGCCAGCTGGATCACAAGCTCGCTCTCATTGTGAAAGGGGTGGAAGTATGATTGACAGCCCTTGTACGAGGCAAGGAACAGTTCCCCAAATCAAAAGATGAGGAGCGAAGATGCCCATGTTCTAACACATGACTTATTCTTTCTCCCTTCTGAGCCTTTCCTTCCAGTAAAAATGCCCTTCCGTCTTTCCTCCCTAAGGATGAAATCCCACCCATCCCTCAAGGCTGTGACAAATGCCACTGATATTTTTCCTTCTCAATTAGATGGACTTATTCCTTTATTGAACCCCAATCGCTTTAGTATAGAAACTCGTCTGATTTTACCTTATAGAATAGTTTTTTTGCACACTTAGTGTACCACCCCTCCCTCTCTTAGGGGCATGTTAGCTATTCATGGACTCACAGGGTCTTGTTTTCATATCCTTGGGTATAGGCCCAACATGTGCATAATAGGTGCACAAAATTATCTGTTGGTTTGGTTGCATTTTACACTTTTTGTGTATTTATAGAGCAGACAGCAAATGATTATAAATTGTTTCTGTTAATGAAACTTAGGAAATAAATACCACTATTTAGATGTCAAAATTAATGTCTTTTCCAACATCCGCTTTCCCAGAAAGTGTTGGGATATCCACTTCCCCAGCAGGTGCTGCTGTGGGTAAAATATCTTTTTTAATACTTTTAGACTTGCTTTTTGGGTTGGTTTATGAACTGTGAAGAAAATTGCTTTGTTTTCAATGAGGGATGCTGAATGTGTTATTGGCATTTGGGGCCAGATAATTCTCTATTGTGGGGTTGCGTTCTTCGTTGTAGGATGTTTTAACAGCATCCCTGGCTTCTACCCACTGGACACCAATAACACAGCTCTCCTCTCAGTCCCCAGTAAGGACAACCTAAATGTCTCTAGACATTGCCAGATGTACTCTGGGGGGGTTGCGGGGGAGTCCTATTTGGTTGGGGATCACTGACTTAGACCAAAAATAGGATTTCTCTCTCTGACCAGTAAAAACAGTGCAAGCTCTGGAATCAGACTGCCTGGGTTCAAATCCTGCCCCTTCCATTACTAGCTCTGTGTCTTAGTTACTTAGTGTCTCTAAGCCTCAGTGTCCGCTTCTGTAACTGGTGATGATAACGGTACCTCTCATCATAGGGGTGTTGGGACAATTTAATGAATTAATGCAGGTCATGCTTGTGGAACAGTGCGTGGTACACAGAGGTTCTCAGTCTCTCTTAGTCACTGGCAGAGTTCTGAATGCCTTTGATTGTTGGTAGGAATCACCTTTGTTCTCACAGGTAGATTAACCTTCACTTGGATCAGCAGTAGTATTTTTTGGAACTAGGCCCAAGGCCCTTGCAGGTGACTACTTGGAAGGGACTAAGGCTCCGTTTTTCTGAATGCCTAAGGTGGGGGAAGCACATGACCCTCGAGTTCCAGCTGCAGGTTTCAGCTGAGAAAAATGCACCCTGGGCTCACTTCTCAGGCTGTCTCCTGTGCCTGTGGCGGTTGGAAGATACCGATCTATATGGCTGGCCCTTCTTGACCTCTCTGAAACAGTAGTTTCCTTGTTTGCAATGGGACAAAAGAAAAAAATCTACAGTCTCTTATCTACAGATCCCAGCCAAACAGTCTGAAATCCCAAAGTTTTCCTTAACTCATTTGGTGGCAAAACCTGACCTGCACTAACGCGAACTCCTTGTGACCTTGATTATGTCTCTCATTGTGGATATTCCTGTTTTGCTGCTGAAGAATCAGTGCCTTTGCTCATGGAGTGCTGTGCCAGGCCTGGTGGGGTGGATGCATAGAAGGGCACATACACCTGTGTCAGGGTCCCCGAGAGCACGTCCGTTCGATGATTTATTAGGAGGACTCGGGGCTAGAGTCTGTTACAGCAGGCTGAGTGAAGAAGGGGTGGAAGTTTTAGGGGGAAACCAGACACAGGCTTCCAGGAATCCTTTCAGTGGTGACACACAGGATGCCCTGGATTCCCCAGCAACCAGGTGTGACACGTGGGTGGAACGTGGCCAGCCAGGGAAGCTCATAGAGACCTGGAGCCCAGGATTTCTATTGAGGGGCTGGTCACATCGCCTCTACCTGGCGCTTACAAACTTCCAGACTCCCAGCAGGAAGAGGGGTGTTCAGCACACACCCACATTGCTTGTATAAACAGTTCAGGCGCAGGGAGCCGCTTGCATCAGTTCTGAAAACGATGGGAGCTCTCCCCAAACCCGAGCTCCCAGATGCCAGCCAAGGGCCAGATTCGTAGCAGACCTTCAAATATAATAACCTCGGGCTGGCTGTGGTAGCTCTTCTGCTCAACACCTAATTACATCTGGTCCCAACGGTTCCAATAAAGGATCATGAACCTGCATGTTCTTTTTAATATATATTTTTATTCATTTTAGAGAAGAAGGGAGAGGGAGGGAGAGAAAGAAACAGCATTGATGAGAGGGAATCATTGATCAGCTGCCTCCTGCATGCCCCCTACTGGGGATTGAGCCTGCAACCCTGGCATGTGCCCTTGACTGGAATCAAACCCAGGACTCTGCAGTCCACAGGCCGGTGCTCTATCCACTGAGCCAAAGTGGCTAGGGCGACCTGTATGTTCTTAAAGGGGCTGAGGTGCTCAGGAATAAATCTGAAAATTGGGTGAAAGAGTGGAAGTGCCTCGAACCTGCTGGGCGGAGTCGGAGTGGTGGCTCAGTCCGGGAAGCCTGTGTGAACCTTTGTCCTCTTTCCTTCCTTAGAACCTGGGCCCCTCCGTCCTGGCCGGGGTGGCTGTGATGATCCTCATGGTCCCCCTGAACGCTGTGATGGCCATGAAGACCAAGACCTACCAGGTAGGGATCTGTCTCCACCAGACTCTAAGCTGGGCCCTGGCCTGGGGTCTCTCTACTGGGGTTTTGGCGGAGTTTCTTCTGCTCAGGATGTGGGGTCGTCAGCCTTGCCTACCTGTTGGGATCCCCGGAGGAGCTTTAACAAATGCCGATGTCTGGGCCCCCATCCAGGGATTCTGATTCACCTGATATGGGTGGGGCCGGGCATGACAAGTCTTTAAAGCTTCCTGGGTGATCACAATGGGCATCCAAGGTTGTGAGCTCCCGAAATCATTAGACCAGCGGGCCAGTACTGAAAGCATGTCTGGGAGCCTCCAAGAAATCCTTACTTCCCCGGAATGTATTCGTGTGTGCATGTGTGCATTTTTAAGAGTTAAGTAAAAATGACCCCTACGCTCTCTCCCCCCTTTACCTTATGCTAGATACAGTGATCAACTCTTTAGTTTCTGAGATACTTTGTATTTTAAATTCTTAAATACCCAAGTAGCAGAGTGAATGCTTACTCATTATTAAAAAAATGTTCCAGTAATACTAAGGTGCATAGATTAGAAGGGGATGTCCCCTCTTGCCCACAGTGAACACGGACCTTTCTGTGCATGCATAAAGAGATCTGATCGTATAGTTAGGTGTGGTGTGTATATGTATGTTTTTGTGCTGTTGTGACCACATGTATTTTTACACGGAAGGGCCTGTTTGGCGGCCTGATGTCATCATTTGACACCGTGCCTCGGGGATTTTTCTGTGGCGTGAGCCTGACTTCATCCTCTTGAACTGGTGCCTGATGGTCCATAACAGAGCCGGGCCAGAGTTTACTTCCCCGTCCCTGCCGATGGCTATTTATGATGTGCCTGTGGAGTTTCAAACGAGAGGGCCCGGCCCCGCTGATGGTGCCCGAGGAGAGATGACTCCCAGGATTGTGGGGATGAGGCCCCAGCAAGCGGGGGCGGGACAGGCAGGAGAGGAGAGGCGAGGAAGGGGCTGTGGCCCTGGCGCCTTTCACGCCTGCCACATGTGGGCTTCCCTGAGAGCCACCTCTGAAACAGCTGCAGTCACGGCTCCCACTCCTGGTGCTCAGTGTCCTCATCGGGGGCCCAGGCATGACTGTGGCACTCACGATGGGGTTCTTGTGAGCATTAAACGCCCGAATGCATGTAAAAGGCTCAGAAAAGTGCCCGGCACCTGGGAAGAGCAAGATTGCTCTTAGCAATATTTAACAGCTGCATGGTGTGGACAGAACCAGTGCCAGCTGTTAAAGAAACATTTCAGTATTTTACCAGGATTATGGCTGAAAATTCATAAAGAAAATAAGGAAACTGAGGGAAGAACCCAACATCATCTCTCTTGTATTTGAATCTGCAGTGTAGGGACCATGTTCGCTTTTTTCCCCTGGGTACCTGAAGGATTTTTCTTGCCTCTAGTCCTCAATCTTACAGGTTTCTTTGTGTCTAATTTAACATGATTCAAAGCAGGGTTTTGTTTTCTTCCCCTTGGAGTCCCTTGGAGCGCTCTCAGGGTCAGGAGTAGGGTTCATGGCAGTTGCAGGGTTGGCTCCGTTTCCACACCCTCAGGAAGGCCCATTTGAATAGGCTGGGGGATGAGTGATGGATGGTGTGGTGCCAAGGCCAGAAGTGAGCAGGCCAGCCCCCAGATGTGGGCTCATTGCTCTTCTCTTTGAAGGTGGCCCACATGAAGAGCAAAGACAGTCGGATTAAGCTGATGAATGAAATTCTCAACGGGATCAAAGTGCTAAAGCTTTACGCCTGGGAGCTGGCATTCAAAGACAAGGTGCTGGCCATCCGGCAGGAGGAGCTGAAGGTGCTGAAAAAGTCTGCCTACCTGGCTGCCATGGGGACCTTCACCTGGGTCTGCACACCTTTCCTGGTGAGTGAAGCCAAGTTTTCTTGGCCACATCATTTTATATTGATTTATTATCATATCTAAGTATTTTTAAATTTTAACAAGGCCTTCTCCTATCACTCCCTTTAAAAAGTGCCCTACAGCCCTAGCTTGTTTGGCTCAATGGATAGAGCGTCGGCCTGTGGACTGAAGGGTCCCAGGTTTGATTCCAGTCAAGGGCACATGCCCGGGTTGCAGGCTCGGTCCCCAGTATGGGGCATGCAGGAGGCAGCTGATCAATAATTCTCTCTCATCATTGATGTTTCTCTCTCTCTTTCCTTCTCCCTTCCTCTTTGAAATCAATAAAAATGTATCTTAAAAAATAAAATAAAATTTAAAAAATAAAAAGTGCCACACACACACCCCTTTATTTTATTTGTAACGCTTAGCAGCTTCCAGCCCAGGGTCCTCAAAGTAGCCAGTTCAGCAACTGTTTGTTACGGGTTCCCCATAAAATAAGGAGTTTGCACCAGAATGTCCACCAGCATCCTCTGCTTCCTCCATCGAGAAGGTCTTGCCAAGAATAAAAATGTCAGCTGAGCTAAACCGGGTGCTCAGTGCAGTAGTTGAGCTACATTACGGTGCCGGGTCCTTACCTACTGCTGACCGGTCACAGACTTGTGTTGGCAGTGACCTGTGCACCACACTTCGAGTGGCAATGCCAAACACACTAAAAATTTCCTTATTCTTTCACTTACTGTGTCTCTCTCTACTGGAATGTCAATTCCAGGAAGGCAGGGATTTTGTTTTTTCTATTCAGTTGTGGTAGAAATAAATAATACAATAATTAAGAAATAATAATACAAGCATAAACTCTGCTTTGTGTACTCACAACTGTAAACCTACTTTTGCCTACCCAGTATATTCTTACGGGAATTCTATGAACTAAATGCACACATTTTCATAAATTGTCCAGTTTCCTATTAGACTAACATCTGTCTCGTCACAGCTGAGTTGCAGGTGGAATGTTTAAGGAAACTCCTGTCTTTTCAGTGTTTGTTGAAATATATTTGTTCTAAGCTCAGGGGCCAGACGTAGACAGGTGTGGACCACGGGCCGTAGGATGCTGACCCGGCCTAGAGGAATGGAATGTTCTTCTGAGAGTCAGGACGTCTGCTGGTTCTGCTGCCAGCTCAGGGTGTGACCTCCTCCTCTGGTTTTCACGTATTAAACACGAAGGGGCTAGGCCACAGGGATGTCCCGTATGGGGCCCTGCCGTCCCCCTCCTCCCTTGCCCATTCCAGACATCCTCGGTTAGTCATGGTGTTCCCGCCCCCTGAGTTAGGTTCGAGCAATGCCCCAGGTGACCACTGTCAGCTACTGGAGTTGGCACAGGGAGTGACTTGCCATCCCCTAGCTGTTCTGGGACTCTGTTTCCAAGAAGCCTTCCAGCTCAGACACAGTGGCATTCCAGGCTAGAAGGTTCTACCGTCTTCTTCTTTCACCCTCCAATCTGCCTGATTTTCCCCAGGGATTCAACAACCACCTTTGATTTTTAAAAGTAAAAACAATGTAAGACTGGATGGTAGTTATAGAGGGTGTTCATTTAATTATTTTTCTTTAAGTTGTTAAATAGTCTCTACATGTTTATAACTGTACTAGAGGCCTGGTGCACCCCATTTGTGCACTGAGGGGTGGGCCTGCACGCTCTCGCAAGTTGGGAACCCTTGGGGGTCCTTAGCACTGCTGTGGAGGCAGGAGAGGCTCCCGCCACCGCCTTTGCGCTCACCAGTCGTGATCCCGGCTTTTGGCTTAGCGGTGCTCCCCCTGTGGGAGCACACTGCGTTGAACATCTGCCCCCTGGTGGTCAGTGCACGTCATAGCAACCGGTCATTCTGCCGTTCAGTTGTTTTGCATATTGGCCTTTTATTATATAGGACTCTATTTTGTATATGTGATACGTTTTCTTTTAAAAACAGTAATGTGTTGCTGTGGTAAAAATAGTTACAGCTGTTTTGAAGGATCTACAACGGGGCTTGCCACCTCAGCACTGTTGACATTTAGGACCCCGATAACTCCTTGTCTCTTTGTTGTGGGGGCTGTTCTGTGCATTGTAGGGTGTTTAGCAACATTCCTGACCTCTACCCTCAAGATGCTAAGTGGTGCCTCTCCTTCCAGTGTGACAATCACACAAGTCTCCAGACATTGCCAAATGGCCCCCCAGTTGAGAACTGCTGGTCTGCAGTGAAAAGCATAGCTCTTTTCCTCCCAGCTTCTTTTGTGTATTTCTAGAGAGAGCCTATATATCAGCATAACAGTGACTATGCATCACAAATGTCATTAAGCTTATATGTCTCTTTTAGTTACTTTACTTTTACACAAGTGATAGCAAATCATATAGAAATCCAAGGTGTTTTGTTTTTGTTGTTTTTTAAAAAATGTATTTTTATTGATTTCAGAGAGGAAGGGAGAGGGATAGAGAGATAGAAACATCAGTGATGAGAGAGAATCATTGATCTGCTGTCTCCTTTATGCCCCACAGTGGGGATTGAGCCCACAGCCCAGGCATGTGCCCTGACTGGGATCCAATCCGTGACCTCCTGGTTCATAGGTTGACACTCAACCACTGAGCTACTCCAGCCGGGTGAAGGCATTTTGAATTGCCCTTTTTTTTTTTTTTTTAATAGGAAAAGATCTTCAGCCAGAGGGAGCAACGATAGGGTTTAATCCATGGGTTGTGTTACACTTAGGATGGGGGACTTTTTTCCCATCACCCTTTGCTCTGCACATTAAATCCTCTGATCAAACGGAGTTTCCAGCTTGTCACCTGAACACGTTAGCCCTTCATTTACTGTTTCTTGCCCTGGTCTCTATCAGGAAGCCATGGCAAGAGATGCCTAGGTGCGGACTGGCTTTTCTTGATCTTGAATTTGCCACTCAGTTTTGGGGTGGGTGATGGGCTTCCCGAGATGGTATCTGTTGAGCTGGGTGTCAGTCAGGACCTTGGCCCTGGCTGAGGCACCGAAGCCTCTGACTACATTAGGATAAAATATGTGGCCCTCGGTTCCCCTGGACGGTGTTTGCTGTTCATTTCCCTGGTGAATTCCTGAGCTTCAAGGATGATGAGGTGTTTACCCGCTGGTAGGTGTGATGGAAGACAGAGGCCGCGGGAGGTCAGACAGGAATGGGGGTGCCATATGGTGGGGTTGATGGGACTGTTTTTCTAGGTTACAGAGCCTGGCATTTATCATGTCCACTTAATGCACTTTCCTAAAATAGCTTCCCTAGGCAGCCGGCAATATTTAGCATTTTCCATCTTGGAAGATTTGTGAGCTTGCCTCCTGCTTTACCTTGTATCTCCTTTCATTAGATAGTTGCCATTCCAGGTGTCATACGTGGACCTTGGGTTTTTTTGCTTGTATCCTAGAACATAGGGGACTTGGCAAATGGTGCACACTCAGCAAGTGTATGTAGAGAAATGAATGAATGAGATATTTGAGTGAACTATTTGTCTTGCAAATAGTCAGGAACTGTTTGCAAGACACAGAAACTTAACTTAGATCTGACTAGGGTAAAAAAAAAGAATGAGGGATTTTTGAGTCACAAGACTGAAAAGTCTAGGAAAGTGCTGGTTTTAAGCATGACTGGGGTTTCAGGCATGGCTAGATCTAAGTGCACCAAAGATCTCTAGCCATCATTTAGCTCTACTTTATCCTTTCTGGTTTTTTGTTTTGTTTTGTTTTGTTGTCAGATGTGCTCACCAAGCAGTTTACAGTTCATCCTGTTATCTCAGTGAGGAGACAGCCCCCACTTTCCCTGTTAGCTCCTGCAAAGCTGTGGGATTGAGTCTCATTGATGGCAGTTGGCTACATGCTTATCCTGAATCACTACAGCCAGGGAGATGGTATGCTTAGATTAACCAGGCCTGGGTCATGAGCGTGGTGTGGGATGTGGGCGATTCCTCTTTGGCGGAAGCTTCTAGACCAGCGGTTCTCAACCTGTGGGTAGCGACCCCATTGGGGGGGTCGAACGACCCTTTCACAGGGGTCGCCTAAGACCATCGGAAAACACATATATAATTACATATTGTTTTTGTGATTAATCACTATGCTTTAATTATGTTCAATTTGCAACAATGAAATTGGGGGTCACCACCACATGAGGAACTGTATTAAAGGGTCGCGGCGTTAGGAAGGTGGAGAACCACTGGTCTAGACTGAGGCTGGGCGAGGTTCAGTTCCCCAAAGGGAATTGAGATGTTGTTACCAGCAACTGGGCAGTGGATGCTGGGCCGGCAGTAAGAACAGATGTCAGGTTGTTTAGGGGTTGGGCTGGCGTGGACGGTTCAGTCATTTGCCACATTTCTCCGTGGAGGCACTGTTAGCACTTAGAGTGGGACGGGTGTTCTTCGTTGTTGGTGAAGGATTTCTCCCATTGTTTACCCTCACCCATGACAAGGCGGTAGCAAACCCCAGCTCCCCACCACCTACCACCCCAGTCACCTTCACACACTTCCACACACACCCTGACAGAGAGAACCAGGTTAGACCTATTTCCTACTGGACTGAGCCTCAGTGAGACAGGCAGGCTGCGTCCCGGCCCAGCTGGCAGGAAGCCAGGGACCCATTAATTGCCCCAGTGCTTTCTGTTCTCCTAACAGCCCATTGGCAGCTAGACTGAAGGTCACTGCTTTCTGCAAGTTTTACTTGGATGGGCTTAAATGTGGTTCCTTTCACTCACCGGTGCATGCTAGCAAGATAGACTGTCCTTTCGTGACCTTCCCTCATTTAATTTAGCTAGAAAACACACCCCTGGGTGGAGATTTAATATGCTGATGAGACATGTGACGCATGAAGAAGCATGTAGTTATACACACAAGTGCCAAAGAGTCCCCGCCTCTACATGTTTAGATGTCACACTTAGACATCATCTTTCCCGCCTCAACTTCTTTCAAACCGTTTCCTGGCTTTTGTTTGGGGAGCAACATTTCTCTTTCTCTCTTGTTTCCCTCAATGCACCGACTACATATGATAAACCTGTTGCCTGAGCAATACTTTCTGGGGAACTCACATGATTTCTATCTCGGACGTTCCCAAGAACCCAGTGGGTTCAATGGTAGGATTCTCACCTGCCTCCCAGGTTCAATTCCTGGCCAATGTACCAGGCTCTATATCGGTTTCTGGTGATCTCTTCTGATTTCTATCCAAGGTGCCGGTAATGTCAGGATCTCCATGCTTGCCTCACCTCTGAGCACACAGTGCCTCGCACATAGTAGGTGCCCAGTTAGTAATAGGTGGATGAATGAATGACCGCTACTTCCTGGAGAAGCCAAAGCTGTGGGTCTGACAGGGGCCATATGATGTTGCTCCCTCTCTACTCATGCCCTGTGCCGCCGGCAGCCACCCCATCACTTGGGCTGAGGGAGCTGGTATGTTCTGGTGGTGAGATCCTTGACGCCTGGTGTTCTCTGCTGCTAAAGAGACACATCTGAGTGTATGCTCTCCTGCCTTCAGGAAATCCACCCAGCTACCTACCCACCCACCTACCTATCTATTCGTCCATCCATCCGCCCACCCACAAACATTACCTGAGTACCTACCTTGATTTAGGTGCTGTCATGGGCACCGATGATAGAGCAGTGAATACCACGGACACAATTCCCCGCCCTCATGGAGTGTTCATTCATCCTAATTGGGAGAGACAGTAGGCATAACAAACACACCATATAGTGTGCTACATGGTCATAAGTGCTATGGGGAAAAAAGACTCGGGCTAGAGCCATAGGGAAGGCTTGCAGTTTTAGCTAAGATGATGGAAGACCCTATGGAGAAGGGGACACTGGAGTCTTTACTTGGTGGAGGTGAGGGGCCCCACCAAGGAGAAGAAAGAGTGAGTGGAAGGGCCTGAGACTGCACCTGGCCAGCCCCAGAGAAAAAGTAACCATGGAGGCCAGTGGGGCTGGCTGGACCCAAGGGGCGAGGGGAAGAATGGTAGGAGCAGAGGCCAGACAAGCTACAGACGGGACGTTTACAAATCAGATGGGCCTTCGGGCCCGAGTCAAACTTTAGCTTCTATCACAGAGGTTCTCAACCTGTGGGTCGCGACCCCTTTGGGGGTCGAACGACCCTTTCACAGGGGTCGCCTAAGACCATCCTGCATATCAGATATTTACATTACGATTCATAACAGTAGCAACATTACAGTTATGAAGTAGCAACGAAAATAATTTTATGGCTGGGCCACAACATAAGGAACTGTATTTAAAGGGCCAAAAGGTTGAGAACCACTGTTCTATCATAAGCAAAAAGGACTGGTTTAGAGAATTGGGCTTTTAAAAATGATTTGATATTTTTATTGAGATATAATTCACCACTTTTAAGTGTAACATTCAGTGGTGTTTAGTATATTCACAAGGTTGTGCAACTGTCACCACTATCTAATCCCAGAATATTTTCTTCATCCCCCAAAGAAACCCTCATTGGCAGTCACTCCCCACGCGCCCTGCTCCCCAGCCCGAGGCACCCACCCATCGACTTTCTGTCTCGGTGGATTGGCCCCTTCTGGATATTTCCTGTAAATGGGATCCTGTTACTCTGTGGCCTTTTGTATCTGTCTGCTTTCACTTGGCATCAGGTTTTCAGGTTCATTCAGATGTAGCCGGTGTCAGCGCTTCATTCCTCTTTATGGCCGAGTACTGTTCCTCTGTGCGGAAGTATTTGAGGAGTTTGGAGTGAGGAGTGCCTTTGGTTATATAAGAGGCCACTGCCTGGAGGAAGGAGCCAGTGTGCAGCATGAGCACCGCGCCTCCCCCTTGGCCGTGGAGCTGGAAAACGTGTGGGCCGTGCCGCAGGGGCACCCAGCTGGTTAATGTCAGAGCCAGGGCAGAACCAGCTTCGCTTCCCAGTGCCTTGCTCTCGGAACCAATTTATAGACTCTTTGGAAGAATAATCCGAGGAGCTGGGACCGAGTTTTGTAACAAGAAATAAAAACAGCCGCCATATATTTCATTTTCCTGTGTCTGTGCTAAGTGCTCTGGGTACTGTGCTAAGTGCTCTGCCTGAGACCCGGTTCACCTGCTGCAGCAGCCCAGCAAAGGTGTGTCAGGATCCCTATTTTGTAGATCGGAAATAGAGGCTCCCTTGGAGAAAGGAGTTGGCACACCCACCTGGTGTGTGGCCAAACTTACGCTTTTAATTTTTAAGCTTTATGACCTTCTAAAGCAGCCGTGGGCAAACTACGGCCCG